TTCTTTTCGCTACGTGGCGCCAATTGGATATTCCAAGCGTAGCCAGGTCCTTCTCCACTTGGTCCTTCCAACGGAGTGGAGGTCTTCCTCTTGCTTATTACCAGCTGACAAAATGTGAGACAATGTTTTGAGACAAGATACTAGAGACTGTATTGTGAATAGTAACTATTCTCAAATTGAGACTTTGTCTCAAATAGAGACTAGAGACTGCTTACAGAATCCCGCTATTAGAATCATGTATAAAATATATTGAAAAGTGGAAAGAACAATTTAACCAGATTATGATTTTTGCCTGGTGTGCGCTTGATCAACCACCGCATTGGAAGTTTATCGAAACCACCGCGAAGTACATCGCAACCAATAATCATTTTGATCTGGAATCATCCGATACTGATTTATTCGATCAGTTCACGTATTTGGAAAGATACGTAACCGAAGAGAAAATCAAATCGTGGGAAAAAAATGGTACTGCCACCGATCAATGCTGGGTTGAAATTTTTCAACGTTTCGGCAAAAAGAAGGTTCCATACTACCACATGGTCAGAATCATATCGTATATTCTCTCCGCGCCAGGCACATCAGCCACCGTTGAACGAGTATTTTCTCTGATCAATCAGATTTGGAACGATGAAAAATCACAAATAAAGATCGAAACATTGCGAGATCTTTTATATGTTCGATACAACATTAAAATAACTTGTAAGGAATTTTTTGAATTTTTAAAAATGCAACCTAGAATGTTGAAGGAAAACAAAAATAAGTATGCTGAAATTTGTATGCAAAAAACGAGTTTGGATATCGAAAAATAAACTGCTTTCTCCATAACTTGACCATAAATTGAAATCAAATTAAATTAAATTGCATTTGCAAGCACCGTTTTTTCATCAATTAAAAACTGTACATAATATAAACTTATAGTAATCTAACTATCATTATAGAAAGAGGCAAGAAAACAAATTTTTTGTACGTAAATGAGATCTTGAAAAGGTGGTCACCCTAGGCATGACGTACGCTGGTGTAGAAAAATGTTTTAGCTTCATCATACCGTGAGGCAAAAAACGAATAAGTTCTGTTCTCTTTAGATATTTGTGTTGTGACAAGTGTACTTTTATACTAAATATCCGTACATGTTTGAAAAATATAGGAAAGATAAGTGTTGAAATATCCAAATGCAGAAGTTTTATTTGGTTATTGTTACTGCACATTATTGTAATAACGGGGTAAGCATCAAAATAATTTACGCTTTTCTGGTAACATACAACCGAAAAGAAGGCTTCTTTAAGTGCATAAATTATATACCGAAATGGTACAATTCCGATTTATTGACGTCACGATCGGAAGGTACCGTTGGAAAGAATATCCCGGCAGACTGCGCCACCATCGCAGTATCGAATATTCAATATTATTCAATTTTTATTAAAGATTACCCCGACAGTTGGTGCTGCGATCAAATTGAGAAAAATGTTTCGTAATTTTGTGTTATTAATCTGAGATTTTTGTCGTGTGCTAATTAAAATCTTATATCAAAATATAATTAGTGTTCGAAGAGTTTTGAAGTGTGCAGAAAAACTATACATTTTGCGAATTTACTGCGGAATGGAAGTGATATGATATGATATATGTATTATCTTTATAATTTTTTTTTTATTCAATTTACACGTGCGTTCATTAGCAACCACCCTAACGTACAAATAAATTTGTGTAGCTCATTTATTTCATAATGAATGTTTTATTTTTTATTATTGTTTTTATTAAAAATTATTCATTTTTGGAAATATTATAAAAGAAATAAAATCACACGTTTTATACTCGAAGTTTGTTACAATAAATATTTTTAGTTAATTAATTAACAATTCATCTTCATTAAGTAACTCATATTCGTTTTGTATTATTTAACAGTTTCTTGTTTTCACAGAAAAATGCCACGTCATCGTGGAAGAGCGCGAAATATTGGTAGAAGTACCCCGAACGCGTAATTGGGCCATGAGCATCGATTTAATAGATCAGTCGAAGAACAATAGGCGAATAATATAAATTTAAGAAATCAAGTTGCACTCGGGCAAATGAAAACTCAGGGCAACCCACTCAACGACTTCGTGCTAATAATTTAAGGCAACGAGGGGCACGTCAACAAGCGACCAAAACACATAGAGAACATAACCAACGGCGTATGTAGAATAATCGAGCATTGGCACGAGCATCACTTAATCGTTTCTAGTTTGAATATGATCCTGAAATAAACGATTCGTTACATCCATTCATCACGATCGGTAGTATGGACCTTTGTCCATGTAATAGATTGTCATGCTTTTAAGAACAAAGGAGAATCAACTGGTTTATGTTGCGCATCTGGGAAAATTTCATTGCCACCGCTCAATATACCACTGGAGCCTTTAAAACACTTTTAGCTCGAACCACATATCAATCGAAATTGTTTTTGTGGAAATTCAATTCATGCTTCCAAATGACGTCATTTGGAGCAACACAATTGTTCATTATGAAGATGGTCGGAATTTTGAATCTACATTCAAGATTCAAGGTCAAGAGTTCCATCGAATCAGTTCATTGCTTGTCTGATGCCGATCCAAAATTTTTACAAATTTACACACGCTGCTCTTACAACCATATAGAGCAGATGTAGGAATGAGAAATTGTGGACATTTTGGAAAGGTTTTTGATTGTTCAAGACCCTTTCTAACAGACTGCAAAATGACAAATATGTCATTGTCAGTAAAGCAGACGAAGTGCCCTATGGAAAGCACGCAGTGATATACTATATAATGCTCCAACAGTTAATGAAGTCGCAGTTGTTATGGCTGTGGACTCATGCGAACGTCGAGACATGCGCATAGAACGCAGAGATAATACGATGCAAATAATTTAAGACAATCATGGTTCTTGCGATGCTTTGTGGTATCCGTTGATATTTTGGGAAGGAGAAGATGGATATAATTTAAATATAATATTAAACAAAGGAATGCAACTACAGGCACAACTTATAGATTATCCTACAATACTTTTAAGTCAATAATTTCTGTTTATCTCATAAATACATTTATTTGCAGGTGAAGAACTAATGAATACAGCCAGTGGATATGTAGTAACGTATGCCACTAATTGCTGCCCAAATGTGCACAGAAGAGTTCTAACCACTTTAACTCATCTTTAATAAAAATGCACACGGCCTAAAATATACAATCATTTAACGTTTATTTCTAGTATAAATTTATATTTTACAAAATTCGTTATTATAAATCTCGACGGAATATGCGATGAGACTTCACTTCCGAGAAAGATTTTCCGATGCTGCTGATCGAGAAGCTGCGGGTCTAGGTCGCATTGGATAATCGCGTTAGAGGCGTTGGATGTTGACGCGGCAGTGTATGAGCGAACAAAAAGTATCTGCTTTCTCCTTGTCCATCCTTTTTGATGAGTGAGTATATACATATGGTGAGTTGTGTTTTTTGTCATCAGCTGTGGTTAATTAAGCTGTCTTATTAGGGTGCGCCAGTTTTCCCGGGTAGAGTAGGTTGACGCTTAACTCATTTAAACAACTAGTATACTTACTTGGTATAGTATACTTATGAGATTGAAAAATAAAAAGAACTGATTTTCACACTCGTTAGAAATTTATTAAATTAAATTACACAATATATATGTGTATATAATATATGTATATTTTTTGGGTTCCTGCGAAACCCACTGCTGCACACTGTTGGCGAACTCGGTGATAGACTTCACTCTCGTTACTTGGCGGTTTTAATAAATAGGGAAATTGCGTGGGTTGCTGCACATGAAGAAAGCTAAATATCACGGACGACTGCTTTGCGTTACGGATGAAACGGTAAGAGAGCGATCCCGGTCGGATCAATCCCTTTTGAAGGTTTTGGTGGTGAATAGTCGCTGATCGTGTGGTTATTGTGTTGTAGTGTTGTAGTAATGAGCGGTGTTAAGGACTGTGTTTGATGCGTGTGCTGTGAACGGTTGTGTGACGAGGTGTTGTGACGTGACGTGATGTGATGTGAAGTGAGGTGAAGCAATGTGGTATGTTGCAGAACGTTCATAGCTCATGTGAACATCCCGGCTCCCCTAGGCGAGTTAATCGGCCAGGAGCCTCTGCAGCTGTTGCAGTGTGCTTAGTACAGCGTTCAACCCTGTTGAGCGACGTTGTTGCTGGCGATGAGCGTGGCGTGGCGGAGATGGCCGTGAACGCATTGTGGTTGATTGGCTGCTTCGTCGTCGCCGGATAGAATCGCTGCGCGGTCTGGAACAGGTGTTGGTGACGGATTGGCTCGGCGGGGAAAACGATGAAATAGAGTGTGATGCGGCCTCTGGCAGTGACGTGGTCATCTGCCAGGCAGGTCATGCAATGCCCGTGGGCTCTTGCAGCCTGTTGACGTTGAGCGGGCTTCATGCTCTTAAAAATGGTGCATCGTTTGAGGGCATGTGGGCGATGGCAAAGGCTGCAACATGGAAGCCCCTGTGGCTCCAATAGCTGCTCTTCTCTCATCTCCCTGATTGCTGCGGCGGATGGCGGTGGGCGCAAAACAGTGGTCCTTGGAACGGCAACGGGTGCAGCGATTTCGGACCTTACGGTATTGGAGGTGGTTTGGGTCTCCTCTACGTCCATTTCCATGGGAATATAAAATTGCATTAAATTAATTTTATTTAAGTATAATGTTAGAATGTAGTTGTTGCAGCTACATATCTATGCATATATATATGTATAATTGGTTGATCTTTAACGCGCTTGTGTGAGGTTATTTTTATATACGGATTTTAAAGCGGGTTAATTTCGAATTAGCGGAATTGATTTATTATTTTTTCGATTAATTAAGCGAGTCATTTTGCGGTTTTGGTTGAAGTTGTTCTTCGCTGCTTGGAAGAAAACACGGTTTAGTGACTGGTCGAGTTAATGTGCCGGTTTGTGTTCGAACATCGACTACTCTTATGTGACCATCTGACCCTCGATGAACCCTTTCAATGAGGCCTAGCCGCCATTATGTTGGAGGAAGGTATTCGTCCTGTATTATGACGCATTCTCCTGCATTCGCTTTCCTCTGGGCCGTTTTTCAACGATATCTCTTATGAAGATCCTTGAGATAGTCTTCCTTCGATCTGTGGCTGAATTCGTGATGGAGAATCTTGATTCTTTCCCATCGATTTAATAAAGTGAGTGAGTCTCCTTCTGTCTCAGGTATGGCGAGAAGAGGAGATCCACTGAGAAAATGACCTGGTGTGAGAGTTGTTAAATCGGAGGGATCTTGCGAGAGGGGTGACATATGTCTTGATACGAGTGAGTAGTGTAGTAAACTCCTCATAATTGAATTTATGATTACCAGCCGTTTTCTTTAAATGGAACTGAAAGCTTTTTACTGCTGATACCCAAAGTCCGCCCATGTGTGGAGAACACGGAGGTATAAACTGCCAATCGATCCCTTGGGGTGCATATTTGTTAACTATTTCAGAGCAGGCTTCTTTCATGAAGTTTATAAACTCCTTCTATGTTGCTCTTTGGGCTCCGACAAAGTTTTTCCCATTGTCGCTCCGACAAAGCGTGCAAATGCTGCAAGAAAAGCCTCAGTAGTCAGATCTGAACAAAGCTCGAGGTGTACTGCCTTTGTCGTAAAACATAGAAAGACAGCCACATACCCCCTTCGAAATGAAGAAGACCTTAACAGGGAGGCCTTTATCTGGAAAGGTCCAGTAAAATCAACCCCAGTGATCGTAAAGGGTAGAGCATAGTTGCAGCGTTTAGCTTGTAAAGCTGCCATGATCTGCGTACGCATTTTGTTGTACATGGTACATGGTTTACACATGAAAATCGTCGTGGTATATAAAATTCTTGACGGACCATTTGTTGCATTAAGCAATTCTCACCAAGCAGTGTAAGCTGGTGCAGATATGCTAGAAATAGGTAAGCCAAACGGGATTTCTCTGGAATAATGATGGGATGTCGTTCGTTATAACTAAGGCTGGAGTTCGCCAATCTTCCATTTGCCCTWATTAATCCCTTAGAATCCAAGAATGGATTTAAGACGAGAAGTCGCTTTTCGAGCAACTTTGATTTCTCTTTGCTGAAATAGCGAGTTTGTGTATATAATATTAGACTGACCTTGGCATGTTGCAAGTTGTACGCAAAGATCATTTGGTGCTCCTTTCATTTTTTGTTTAAGTCTTCGAATGAATTGGTTCATATAAGCGACTACCCTTAGTGCTCTAGAAAATGATGAAAATCTATGGAGAATATCATAATCTTCTGGAGTGATATGAAAATTCTCAATTTTCCGACTTTATGGCGGTATTATATTATGAGCGGGAGACTTTGGCCAGAATTCTTGTGATTCTGTTAGCCATGTTGGACCATTCCACCAGAGTGTAGTACTGGTGAGGTGCAGTGGCTTGCAACCTCTTGTCCCAAGATCCGCTGGGTTATCTGCACTTGCAACATGTTGCCATTTATTCGATTATATACATAGGTCTTCCAGCAATAGGGCGGTTTCTCTAACCACGCTAAAACTATTTCTGAGTCTGACCAAAGATACGTTTTATGATTGGTTAACTTCAGATGAATTTGAACTATTGAAATTAATTTTGTTACAGAAGAGCACCATTCAGTTCAAGCCGTGGTAGACTGAGTGTCTTAAAAGGTGCGACTTTGGCTTTGGCTACCAAGAGGTGTGCAGATATTTTGTTATCGTACTGTGTGCGTACGTAAACTGCTGCGCAATAAGCCTTTTCAGAGGCATCACAGAAACCGTATAATTCTGTGTTAATGTTAGGGGTGAAATTTACCCATCGAGGTATTCGAATTTCAGATATAATATTTAGGTTGTTAGCAAATTGAACCCATTTCGCTAAACGTAAAGGTTTTACCTGTTCATCCCATTTAGTGGCATCTTGCCACAATTCTTGAATGAGGATTTTAGCTTGAATCATTATTGGCGAAAGCTACCCTGCGGAGTCGAAAAGTTTTGCCATCGAGGAAAGTATTTGGCGTCTTGTTATAACGGACATTGCAGATATTGACTCAATTGTATATGACAATTGATCTGTTATCGCATTCCATTGAATCCCTAGTGTTTTGGTTGTACTAGTTTTTTCAAATTTAAGTAAATATGTATCTAATAAGTCTTCCTTTTTAATGTCTTTAATTATTTCAGGGTGATTTGATGTAATCTTCTTTAGGGAAACCCTGCTGAATTTAATGATTTGATCACTTGCGATAGTGATTCACATGCTAATGCGATACTGTGGCTACCTGATAGTATGTCCATGTTTGTGTTTGCAACACAGAAGATGCTAAAGGCAAATTTGTTGCATTTGTTTGTGCCACTTCATGCAATGTTCCAATGGCCAAATAGGGTGCACAATTGATGCCAAAGGTGACGGTTTTAAGTTTGTAGTCGCTGATTGGACTATTACTTGATTTTCGGAAGACTATACGTTGGAAATCTTGATCATCTTTATGTACTAGAATTTGTCCATACATTTTTTCTACAACCCCATTGCAAACGTATTTAAACATGCGCCAATTTAGATTTAGCAGCATGCGATCAGGTTCTAATGTTGGCCCTGTGTATAGTACATCAGTGATTGATTTGTATGAGATTGTACACTTTGAGACATTGAAAACCACTCGTACTTTTGTTGTGAGTTTATCAGGTCGTATTACCCCGTGATGTGACAGATAAAAAGATAAATATCTACCTTTAGACACCTTTTCATATGGTACAGCTTCTTCCATATGATTAAGGTCAAGATATTCGTCCATCACATTATCGTATGCCGATTTAAGCTCATTTTTCTTTATCAGGCTTTTTTCCAGGCTTGGAAATTGCTGAACTGCTGATATTCTAGAGTGGCCTTGAGCTATGGTTTCAGGAAAAGTTGGTTTGAGTGGTAATCGCACAACATAATGACCATGTTCGCTTCTTGTTGTTGTGGATTTGTAATAGGCTTCGCATGCCTGGTCTTCTTCTGAAAGCTGGGTGATTTGGGGTAATTCTTCTATTTCCTAGAATTTTTTAAGTTGACTATTTAAAAACTCGTTTGAGATATTTTCCAATTGTGTGGTGAAATAATTTATTTTTTCAGGGACTTGGCCACTTATAATCCACCCAAAGACTGTATTTTGGGCTAAGAATTTATTAGAGATTTTCTCTATACCTTCAATATAATAATATGTCGATTTGTGATGGAGTATGACAATTGGGATCTCCTAATTTGAGATGTGAGCATTTTTCCCAGTGTATCTTATTTACTTAATAGCTTGGAAGCAAATTTGTAAGTTGCGGTAGAACGATATTAGAATATATGCGTAAGCCATCGTTCTACCTTCTACTTCTTGATTGGCGTAGACACCGCTAATATCTGCATTTAGAGATACTACGGTAATTGGGCATATTTTGTTCGAATTTTGGATAATTCTTCCGCCCATTCCTGAAATTTGGAAATTTGAATGTTTTATTGGCAATTCGAGCCGATTTTGAGCCTTTGATATAAAGGATCTTTGAGAACCTTGATCTATTAATGCTCTTAATTTAAATAATTCTCCTCTATGTTCAATAGCGATGACCGCTGTGGGTAAAAGAATTTTGCTTTCATTTTCTGAATGAAGCGCTTGAACTTTTGCTGCTTTAGAGCAACATGGTTGTTCTTCCCTTTTTTCGGGATTTTTGATTTCGGAATTATCACATTTGGTTGCAGTGACTAACCCGGTGGTTTAATGAAATTGATTTTGCTTCATATTCTGACAATTTGTAATATGAAGCAATGAGTGATGTCTTCGTTGACAGTACACACAATTAAATTTGCTTTCACAGTCTTTTGTCTCGTGAGAATTGGACAGACAGTTGATGCAAAGTTTATGTTGTCTGACAAGATTGTTCCTGTCAGAAACAGAAAGTTTTTTAAATTTCTCGCAAGATCTTATGTTATGACCTCCATTACAAACTTCACATAACGGTTGCCATTTATTAGTTTCGTTTGACACGAAAGTGTGACTTTTATTAACGTGTGTATTGTATTGCAAATTATTGCTGGCTTGAGGTTTGAACAAGTTTTTACTCGAGTCATTTTGATGACTTTTTAGAATTATATTTTTGTTGTCAATTCGCTCAGTTATCTCGTATTGAGCAGTGAGGAATGCTTTCACTTGCTCCCATGTGGGCATTTTTTTCCTTTCCAAAAGTGATTGTTCCCATCGTAGTAACGCAGCATCAGGGAGTGTTTCTGCACAAATAGTTACTATGATGGGGTCCCAMGATTCTGTRGAGRTATTTTGTGTTTTTAACACTGATATGCAATTAGTCACTGTCGAGTATAAGTTTAGAAATTCTTGGCTGGTTTCTTTTTGAATTTTTGGTAGATGTAATAATGATTTTATTGGGTTTTCTATCATAAACCTTCCATTTTCGTATCTTTCGACCAGTGCTTCCCAAGCCAGCTTAAAATTTTCGTCATTTAAAGCGAATCGCTTGACGATACTGCCTTAGATGGTATAACTTTTGTGCTTGTGAGAGTTTAGGATGGTTTATATAAATGGCAGTGAATATGTCCCGGAAGGACGGCCATTGATCATATTCTGGGAGTTTTGCGTCTTGAAATCTTGTACAATATCTTATAAAACTGTCATTTTCAGTGATGAATCCAGATATTGTCTGATCTTTTGTTCTTTTTTGTTTTATACTCTGCTTTGAGCGTGTAGCTTCAGCAGGTGTGCCTTGTGGTTTATCTTCACCAGCCATTTTCGGAATTTCTAATGATAGAGGTATTTTTGACTTAACCTCTCTTGATTTGCCAGATTGCATTAATTTAAATAGAGTTTAAAGCTTTTAGCTGAAAGTTTTGCCTAATGAATAATTGATTCGAACTTAATATTGCTAAAGCAATGTAGTCAAATAGATTTTCTAAAGAGTTTAAATTAACATTTTATCAACAGAATTTTTTTTTAATTTTTTTTGTAAAAATTTATATATTTTACAAAAAATATTTTGTGATCAAATTTTGTGATTCGCTACCGCATAAAAAGATTAAAGCTTTTTTTTTTGTAAAAGTATTCTATGTAAAAGTTCGATAATTTTTTTTTTTTAATGTGACGGAAAATTTTTTTGACGTGTATTAATGTATCTCCAGTTCACTCGCGCTTATTTTGTATATTTTTATCTGCAAACGAATCAAGAACGCGAAAGAAAAATACAAACAAAAAATTTTTTGTATGTATCTATATATTATTACCATATGTTTGTATATGAATATGCTTTATGTATATGTTTGCTTTTGTTTAGCATTGCTCGTACCCTTTTAGGTATATAATTGCTATATATGTATATATGGTATAAAAATGTTACATATACCAATTTGCTAATCGCACATAAATGTATAAACGCGCGGAAAAATTAGAAAAGATGTGTATAAGAGACAGGGTTTTTCTAACCACGCTAAAACTATTTCTGAGTCTGACCAAAGATACGTTTTATGATTGGTTAACTTCAGATGAATTTGAACTATTGAAATTAATTTTG